GGATTTTAGGCCTAGGAATGCAAAGTATAGCCTAAAATGGGAAAGCTATTGAGTCCCTACGAGTTGAAGTTCTAAAAATGTAAAAAGAAGGTTAAAGGGTTTTCAAGGACTAAATTGCAAATTGAGAAAGTTTTAGGAACTAAATTATAGATAAAGTTAGATATTATAGTGAAGTCTTAAAGCCTAGGAATGATAAATAGAGATGAATATAGACCAAAGATTATGTTAAAAGCCTTGATGAGGTGAATTACGGGATTAAGTCGTATCAGGGACAAAATCATAATTTTGTAAAATTTCGAATTGAAAAGGACAGATATGAAAATTATGCCCAAAAATTCTAGAAAATTTTCAAAAAAATGAGAAATAGCATGTTAAGGCTCAAAATGAAGAAAAATTATGAAAATTTCCTTGAATTGACTTTAAATAAATTTTAAAAATTATGGCTTATTGTGAAGTATAAAGCTAGCTTTAACTGTTTGAGCTATAAAAAGGCCTCAAAAAATTAGGAAAAATAGGGGTTTAGGAGTTCAGGGCTATAAAAAATTATAAAATTAGTGTAATATCCATAAGGCCAGCAGAATAGCTTTAAAAACATCTAAGGCTCAGTTATGCCATTTAGGGGCATTTTACGAGAAATTCAAAAAGAAATATCTATGGGTTGAGTTATGATATGATAAAATTCATAGTTTTCTCTAGAATTAAAAAAATTTTATGTTATGGATAGATGAATTTTTGGAGCCTTGGATTGAATAAAATGCTCTAGTTAAATATTAAATAATTTTGTCTCCTAAATAAAAGATAAAATCAAAGAAAATATCTAAAGTTCATTAATGAAAGTACTGAGTCAGCATGCTGAGTCACTAAAATGCATTTATGAAGCTGCTGAGTCATCTAATGAGTTATTGGGAGATATTTATAGACAACAGAAAAAGGCAAAACGCAGTACGGGTAAGTTTTGGACAATGCTCTGTCTACCCAATATGATGAAATCTGTACTGCGTGACTCTATGAGGCTAAGTAGCTAGTCAATAGAGCTGATTACGTTCCTCTGTGCTCCTCCATATTGGCACCAAAAGGGAAGCTCTCCCATTGGTTAGAAATTCTAGGAAAGCATGTGGGAAAAGAAAAGGGACTGGTAAGAGGCGAATGAGACTGATACTTAGAAGCTTATTGGAGAAGCTTTCCAATTCTCCTTTTTTCTCCTCTTTCACGTCATATATATGACTTATGATTGGTGAAAATGTTGCAAGAAGACACTTGACAAGTTGATCATAACATGTGGCAAAATTATGAGCTTGATGCCTTAATCAAGAAACACTTGGCATACTTGATGTAAGCTTGATGATGTAAGGCAAAGTGATGTCATGAGACACTTGCCAATTTTGATTACATATGGTAAGATCATAAGGAAGGAGGTTTAATCATGTGACACATGTCATAGTAAGGGTGAATTAGTTTAACTATGGTAAATAGTAATTATGGTATTATAAATACCCCTCCCCTCCCATTTATGCAAGGATTTTTTGCCAAGACAAGAGTCAAGGGGGAAGCACAAAATTTCTCAAGGGAAAAGGAAGAAGAAGAAGCTCATGAAGTTCCCAAGACCAGGTAAGATCATGGTTTTATATGTACGTTCATTTGCCTTATGTCTTGTTAAGTTTGGTTATGGTTTTAACAGTTTTTAGAAGCTTGAAACCCTTAGTAAAGGGGCTGCACAAAATTAATACATTAAGGAGAAGATGAAATTGATATTAGGATAAGGTTTAAAGGCTTAAAAGGAACAAAAATCAAGTGGTTTTATGTTAAAATTAGTTGAATTTCATGATTGTTATTTAAGGGAACTGTTCGGTCAAGGCTAGTTCTTAGTGTTAGGGTTGGATTTTGGTGATTTTGATGCTTCCAATGAGTTTAGAATGAAAAATTTTGTAGTGTTATGTGGAGAAAATGTGTTTGGAAGTATTAAAATCAAAAATGAAAATTTTGGATCCTAAGACCTTATGATTCAACCAACTCAAGAAATAGGAGAAGAAGTTGGATTTTGATAAATCCAAGCTCCAAGACAAGGGCCATGAGACACCAAGGAAGAGGAATGGCAAGATTGATCAAGCAATCTTGATAATTAGCAAGCAAGGAAGCAAGAAGAAAATTTAAGGATAAAAGGTAGCGAACTTACCCTAATGCATGCTTAGTATGTATGCTTGTGTGTTAAAGCTGATTGACGATGAATGAAAGCAGGATTCATAAAATGTTGCTCTATTTTTTGTTTAATTCATGGTCATGTGTGTTTGAAATATTGAGCATATGAATATGATATTTAAAGTATGAAAGTATGTGATACCAAGCATGTTATATACTTGCATTTATCGTATATGCATAAAAGGTAATATTTGCTATTGAGATTCTCCCAAATTTCACCCTCCCTTAACCAACCCTAATAGGTGATAATGGGTAAGCAAGAGGATGCATGAAGTAGAAGTAAGAAAAAGAGGAAAAGAATTGAGGAAATGTATTATATTACATTATGTAATTTGTATACCAATGTATGATATGAACATACCTCTCAATATTATGTGATGTTAAATGATGATGATAGCATGTAAGATTGAACATGATAATACGTGAGAATGAATTATGCTTCAAATAGAATTTTAAACTACCTCAATACAATTTTTCTATAATTAGTTGTAAATTTTTAAAGTTGGACCAGAAATCTGGAATTTACCAGTAAATAGTAACCTAAGAATTAATTTTAAAGTTTTCAATCTACAGGCTTGTTTCACGAATTACTTGAACCCTAACGCTTCCGAACACATACTCAAAAGGATTAAAAGAAAGATGTTTCAAGATCACCATACTAGAATAACATGCAGGGGTGGAAGTACGGGGTATAGCACTAGACAAGCAAGCAAAGCTGCGAAAAAGGAGAAGAGGAAGGCATTTGAGGTTTGGAGAAGGAAGAGAGAGAGAGGGACGTTTGGGTAAGTAGAAGTAGAGACTAGCTAGTAGTGAGAGAAAGTGTGCGTGTGAGGGAGCCAAAAAAAAAAAAGGTTGTCGTCGCCATTGTTTTTCAAAAAGCGTTTTTTCTTAGTCATGATTTGACTTGAGAAGCTGACCTGTCTATGGGTCTTTGGTTTTGATTGTGATCAGCTCCGTCCCTGTAAGCTTTGAGCATTCCCCATCCCCCACCCCCGTGCCCACAACACAACAAAAATTGATCTCCAAGTTTTATCTAGTTTTCAACTAAGTGGCATCTTCTTTTAGTTTTATTTGATTTTTCATCAAGTTCAAACATTTTTTATTGAAAAAAATTAATTTTTTTTAATTCTTATAGCTTTGAATCAAATCGTTTTTTTCATTTTTAATTCAGTGCAACTTAGTTTGATTTAGTTATAACTCTTGCTAACTTTTAACTTATTTTAAGTTAAGTTAAATAGTTTTTAACAAAATTTAGTCTCCATGTTTCATCAAAAAAGTACAATTTTATTTTTTAAAATGAAAGTGTTAATTTTTAAATAGTTAAAGTACAAGGACAAAATTATATCAAATCAAAATTCAGGAATCAAGTTACAATCAAATTAAAATTATAATGATTAAATTTTGTTAAGTTAAATTTTAAGACAAGAGTTATACCTGAGTTAAACTCATAAAGACTAAAATATTACTTTTTCTTATCTTTTAATGAATCACACATAGAACCCTAATTAAAATTTAGGCGGAACTATGAGGTCTAAATTTTTATCCAGGTAAAACTCTAAAGACGGGATAAAAAAATTACAAAAATCTGAATAAAAATTAGATAAAATCATAGGGCCTTGTAGATTAATTTTTCCAAAATACATTCCTCTCCTTTTTCCAAACAAGTGTGCTGCTAGCTAGTGGGGTTATCCTTCGTGTTCAAGGTATCCAATGGGGTTCTTTTTAATATTCTTGAAAAAATGAAAAGCTGTTTGAACACAAAGATTTTTCCTTTTGGGCCAATGAAGATGATGAGTAAGTAGGTTTGGATGTGGTCTGAGGAGAATGACAAAATGAAATGGAATACTAAGTAAAATATGAAAAATTAATGGCAAGTGGGGGAATTCTTTTTTCTAAAGAAAATTAAATTATGGCAGCGGGGCAATTCCTTTTTCTGAAGAATCATGGCAGTGGGGGCCCTTCGTGCTTAAGGTATAGTCATTAGAAAGACAAGGAAAGCAACTTGGAGGTCATGAATATGAAGGCTTGCGTGTTCATTCTGTACTCCTGTTATGAAATGAGACTATCAAAATTCAATTCGGATGGTTCTTTTAAATCTGTAAGTTTCAAACGATAAAACAATTAAACATAACTTTTTGGTTTTTTATTTTGAATTTTTTTTAAAAGAAAAAAACACTTGTTTGATAATTTATTTTTAATTGGTTGTTTTAAAAACAGTAATATAACTCGTGCTTAACAGCTTAAGGTATAGTCATTAGAAAGACATGAAAAACAATTGGTTGTATATTACTTCAGTGCTATAGCAATATTTGACATATAATAATAAAAATATAAATAATGAAGTAAAATTAATCACGTTTGACAAAATATTCATAAAAACATTATGAGAAAGACAGTCTATTAACAAACATTATTTATAATCTAGAAATTTAATTATGAATTTGTACAAAATGATCTAATTATAAAATATAAAATATAAAAACAAGGTACTTTTCCTGTTCTAAATGTACGAGTATTCAAGAAGTATCGTTAATTCTAACTATAAGATCTTAATCTATTTTCCTTCTCATATCTATTATTTTCTCTCAAATTAATTAACTTATAAGATTATCTAACATTTAAAGAAGCTTAAAAATATTTTTTAAGGGATCAGATACGCTGTAACATCAGAGACAAACTTCACCACAAGGAGAATGATAAATGTGTAAGATTATATTTTATATACAAGGAAAGATCATATAAGCAAGATCAACCTTTGTCCTTTTTTTTTCTCTCACTCTAAAACCAAAAAAAAGGGGGACTAGACCCAATATAAATTACGTTACTAAAATGTAAGGATCAATATTCCAGAATGTCATGTTGCATAACGTTCCCAACATATTCAAAAGCCACATTAATGAAATAATATACAATTTCACCTATAAAGACTCTATAGCAATAATATCAGCAACCATATTTGATTTTCCAAAAGTATACTATATTTGAACAAAACAGTCACATCTCATCATCTCTTCAATACAAACCCCAACTTTACAACATTGTATGAGGAAAAGTATCAATTTCAGTACTGAAGGGATTAAAGTGGAATTCTCAACCTGGTTTGACCCAATTTAGTTCTTTTCAATTTCTGGCCCAGCCCGACTAAGGACACCTCTCGCAGAGGCTAACTCACAACTTGACATTGAAGAGATTATATAAACCTTTTGAATGATCGCATATTTTAGTGAGCAAAAATTTTCTCTGGACATAAAACTTGCCAGAGTTAATTTCACGGCTTTTTCTCTTTGCATAGGCTTCGTAATCTAGAAATGGTTAAATCTCCGCCTCCAAACCCATCAAATATAGCATTTGCCGAAGGGAACTCAGCTCTAGATGTCAAACTGCAGCAAACAACTAACACTAAGCTACAAGTACAATGCGGCCTCAGAAAATATAATAAAAAGTTGCAAACTAAATTATTCATGTACTGCGGAAGATATAAGGAAGGAACTTAATTTAATTATCTTCATGATTTTCTCTGTCTTTTTTCCCATGTTATCCATGTTCGAGTGATTGGGATATGCTACAATGACCTAATTTGAAAAAAGGAAAGAAGTTTACAACGGATCTACTTCTCTTTCGATTCACTTCATATCTTTTCTTTATCTAGTTTACAACAGATCTACTTCTCTTTCGATTCACTTCATATCTTTTCTTTATCTCCGTCTAAAATAGACACCATATATTTATTTGCTAAATGATAAGAATCACGATCCTGCTCAAGTCATCTCAAGCGTGAGTATGAGGAGTGCTACCGTGGATCCCAGCCAAGAAATATAAGAAAAATAATAGTTGTGGACTCAATAATATTGATGGAAGTTAAAAGAATTTATAGTCAGAGTTCTTCTCAACAAACATAGAAATAACTTGCCACTTGGGCTAGTTTAGGCAGCAATAAGGGGCGGAGTGGGGTGGAGGTGTAAATAATGGTAAACCTTCCTGATGTAACCAAAAAAAAACAAAAAAACAAAAAACAACAAAGAAAGAAAGAGTTACCACTCTAGCCGTCTAAATTTTTTTAACCTAACAAACAGTCTAAAGTTACAACTTGATCTTTCAGAAATTACAAGAGTTTCATCAAGAGGTAATAACAAATTTAAAAGGTTTCTGTAACACTGAAAAAAATCATAGGATAACTTAAAAAGAATGAGTGGTAACTTTCAAAAATATTTGTAATCACTTACATCTATATTTTATAATATTAGAGAATTTTGACTTTTCTTCCCTTTTGGTAATAGAAGAAATTTTAATTTTAATTTCTTTAACAGTCATTAATATAAGCTATAGATTTTCAACCATTATTTTTTTTTTCCTAAACTATATTTGGGTGTGTTTGCGGGCACGTGCGCATGCATATCAATGTGTCCATAACATTTCGGATGTGTACTCTTTAGTGTCGATATTGAGTAGAGTAGTCTGCTATTCAGGAGCTGTAAGTAAACTGAAACTTGCATAATGCAAAATCACGCTTTATTTTCCAAGAAGAATGCACTCACCTGCTCCGTAAAACAACGCATGGCATGCCTACCACTCCCGCTCCATCAACTCCAGACTTGCTTCCAGCAATAAGGACACAATTGCATACAGGTAACCCTGCATATTCTGCTCCAGCACGTATTGCAGCTACAGTCTTTTCTAGACTGCACAGATGATTATCAAATCAAATTATAGTTCATCCAATTTATCCAAAGTATACTTGTTAAAAGAATAAGTGAGGCCAATACTATCATTTGGGGCCAAAATCATGTTGGGAAAACAGCATTCAACCAAGATGAGAGACGTCAAATGCTACAATAAATTGCACTAGAGTATCTAAGTATTTAATTGATGACCGAAGGAAAGGAGAGCTCTCAGGTTGCACCGACCGAGACAAAGCTGTTTTAGGCATGAAGAGTAACAGTAATACCATCATGAAGATGAGAGTAGCCAAGACAAACATATTCCATCACTTTGGCATAAAATTTATCCCGTCATATATTCTCCAAAGAACCTCATTCAATTATCTTCCTTGCGGAAAATTTTACTTGCCATAAGCGATTCTCAGTTCTTTGTGCAGAATGCTAATCATCTTGCCGTGGTAGTTTCATATCAGCATGACTCCAAGTTCTTTCGATTGGTCCATCATGGTGTTTCTTATTGCATGAGGATATATCTCACTAGGCCTTTTTAGTGGTAATGTGTTATAGAAGGATAGGTATTGAACCCGCGGCCCCGGGGGGGGACTGCCGACCTTAGTGTCCCCTCAAATGGTGTCGTTTCCGTAGGTTTGAAGGATGTTATCAATACTATCATATCACATTAAGCCAACAAAAAAGGGGGGGGGTTTTCAGGACTCCAACAAAACATGAGGTGGGAGTGAATAAAGTTGATTAACAAATAAGAGGGAATGAAGTATCTAATGTTGCAATTACATGCGATTGAACAAGATACACATCAACCTTTTGGGCACATTAAACGTGTGAACCAGATCGTTACTGTTTACTTTGGGTGAATTATAAATGCTCTATTAACCTATAAGACTTTACTAAATCCTTAATAACTCCAAAGGTAGTGCTATAAGTAACCATTTTCTCTCCCTGCGTGACTTTCCTACATGCCGAGAACCCTTAACTACAAACCAATAAGACCAAGTTCAACCATGCTTTTTTAAAAAATGATGTATTGCCTCCGATCCTAATTATAAGACCTTATTTATAGAATACAAACGAAATGCTGAGCCATGAGCAGAGCTCAGCCATGTAATCTTTTTCTACCTTAACATATGAATCCTTGACATCATGCACATACACAATAAGACATTAGAGGGTGATATTTGATTTTGTTTGAAAAATTACACAGGGAGAGAGAGAGAGAGAGAGAGAGATAGAGCGTGTGTGTAAATAATTATAAAAAAAAAAAAAAACTCGCTGACACAAAATGAACTAACCTTTCAGATAAGGTGGTGTCAATCTCAACACTCAACTTTAGCAAGGATGCAACCTCCTTTGCGATCCTTTGTTTCTCTGCTGAAACTGGCCAAAAAGATACAAAAACTAAGTCCCAGACCAGCCAGCCTTCCACACCCCCAAAAAAAGGGCATGCATCAAAGGACACGTACATCATTACCAAGTCAAAAAGTATGTACCTGCTCTTTTGGCTTCCTTGACAAGTTGGTCATCCAAACCAGAAGAAAGTACATTCCCAGAAATAAGTCGGCCATACATGCTCTGCGCAACCTCCTTATCACCAACAATCATTACCTTTGAGCTTCGATCACCAAGCTTTTCTGTAATTGCCCTATCAGTATTAATTCAAAAGATAAAATAAAGCAAAAATTAGGGCACTCATCATTCTGAAAAAGTAGAGCAAAGAAAATGGAAGGTGGGGCTAAACTAGCACATAAGAAGGATCAAATCAAACTAACAAAATCAGAGAGCTATCTATTAACTCAGCAAAAGATAATTTGTTCCTCCCAGTAGAAATCGGGTCAGCTGATACCACTAAGCATTGGTCAATAGAAAAAGTAAAACCACTTAGCACCTGTCAGCTTCGCTCCTCGATTTGCCTTGTACCAAGAGTTTACCGGACGTTAGAGCAATTAATGTATTAAATTAAACAAGACTTTCTAGGCTTGGCAAGGAAAAAGGCATACTTCTTATTAGTTGTAACCTTGTATTGAACACAGGCTCTTCTTTTCTGACTAAAACAATTTAATATCGTTTTATGGGTATAATATTTACCTATAATATCTTTTTGATAAAAACAATCGAATGCCCTAAAATTTAAATAAAATAAATATTTTTAAAAAATTCTTTATTATATTTTATTCATAATAACTTTTAATTAATATTCTATATATCTGACCAATATTACTTATCATAATTTTTTAATTTCAACAAATTTTATAACATTGATGAAGTAAATGTTTAAAATTATATTTTAAAAACTATTAATAATTATACATTTTACTACCCCCGCCCCGCAAACTTTTTTTTTTTTTTTTTGGCTCCGTCCCTGTCAGCGTACATAATTCTATTCAAGTATCATGATCACAGTATATATTTGAAACTAACTAAAGTACCTGACAATATCATTACCACTTTTTCTGTATGCAGTTATCACTACCACTGGAATTCCCTCATTATATGCATCGTCAATAAACCTGTCATTGGGGGAGATATTTACTTTGTTCATGCTTTTCAGTCAAGGAAAAATCTACAAAGAATAAGAAAAATAATTATAATTGGTAACTATTATTCACTAGCTTGGACCAAACAAAGGTTTTACCATCAGAGGGAACAATTTCTTGAAAATAAAATTAGTAATGGTTCCCATCCCTTCTGCTTTAAAATTAAAAGAGACACTAACAACTAGATTTAGAAGAAAAATGTCAGACGAATCAATCTTGGTTCTTATACCAAATTTTAATAAAGGTAGTTAGGAAATCAAAAGTTTCACTTCCTAAATAAAATATCCAGGAAACAATATAAGAAATTGAAGCATAATGAAATGTTGAGGAAAAAGCATTGAACATGGACACTAGAACTTCCAAAAATTGAAATCGTTCAGGATAAAAAATGAATAGTTTATCATATGATCAATGACACACTCTAAATCTCACAAAGAAAATGACGAGTAAACTTGAGAATGACACCTCTAGGAATATGGCTCTACTATATTAGTACCTGGTAAATTCTATTGCGAAATATGTAGTATAGTCACCAGCCCTAAGAGAACATTATAGACCAACCCAATCCTCATTTTCATGGCTAGAACAAACTTCTCAACTAAGATACCCCTATTAACTTCTAAACTGGGAAACTTAAAATTTCCAGGAATATCCCATCAGCACCCCAAAATGTGGAATACATTGAATCAGCCAGACGACTAATCAAGATAACCATAATGTAAGAACAATTGCTTTGGTATGATGACCAAATTGACAATTAAGTTCAATAGGATTTCTCCCGCATCCCCTTAAGAAATACAGCATATACGACTTGCATATTCATATTTAATCAGTGCAAGATAACTCACTGGTTAACCCCTGGTCGTAAAGGTAGACTCTTTGACATCACAAACTCTTCCAATGCTTTCTCCTGCCAATAATCAATAGAGTTAAGTAGGTTTCTCTCTTTAACACCTCTTAAAAAAAGTAACTTGAAACATCTTTTCTCCTTTGCAGGATGATATTTAGCTTACATGCCTAAATGATCTATTCCTAGGAAGAACCTTAATATTGAGAAAGAAAACACACTATTATTTTTCTTTCTTGGGCCTTAAAATCATGACATTACTGGGTTCACATATGTTGCAGCTATTTTACGAGTTCAAGAAACCAGTCTAAACTTTAGCACTAATGAATCATGCTTTTCTCTCTATTAAAACACAATTCTTTTTTGAGTTAGTAAAACCGAGAATGAAGTGTTTTAAGAGTCACGTTAGTTTTCTTTTCCTCTTTCTTATGTGCTCCTCCTCTGCCTCGTCAAAAATTTTCTCACTGATTTCTCAAAACTTTAACTATGTTGACAATAAGTCATAAATATCAAGACCCCAAATATGTGGAGAGTAATTCTGCTGCAATTCAAGATTTTGTTCTTCAAGGACATCAGATTGATCAACCCTAAACGCCTTTCTATACAAAATTTTACAATTAATTCCTTAACATGAGACATAATTAGAAAGCTCTTAGATTGGCTAAAATTCCTAAATGAAACTATGAAATCTTTTGGAGTAATATTAGCTGAGAGAAGTGGCGACTATCATTTTGAACGCCACCAAAATCCATAGTTAATTTGCTACTCTAGTGAATATCAAATGTGGGAAGCTGGATGGATATTCTGTTTGGAGGTCTGCGTTATTTTGTTCTATTTACACAAGCGAGGAATAAAAGACCCTTCATTATACGAAAAGTAATCGGGAGTGAGGAATAATTTCTGAAGATTGTGTCATCAACAACAGTCTGCTTTATTGAAGAGTATTCATTATACATCATATTCCTCATTCGCCCAAGTATAAATAGCAAGTAAACAATTTCATTCACAAAGTGTGAGTAAAATACCTTTTTCTGCAAAACACTTTCTACAAACTTTCCCTTCTCACTTGTGGGTAACGAAGTAGGCCATCCAATCTATGCATTAGAGATAATAACAGTTTTACTTGGCTTCAGTAATGTTTGCAATGAAGCACACAACCTGGAGTTAGCAAAAAGCTAACATTCAAAAGAACGTACTCTATTAAAGTACAGCAAGAGCATCTTCTCTTCATCATTGGCACTTCTCCTGGAAAATTATTAAGGAACAATTTACAGCTGAAACAGAAATTCAATTTTTTACTCTAAGCATGACTCAATACAGGTGCATATCTGATAACTATAAGAGCAATGAAAGATATTCACAATGTTGAGTCAAGTTTGACATGATCTGTTCCAATATAAACTACTATAGGATTTCATGAAGTTGACTAATTGTCTTAAACCATATCACAGCTACAAAATAAACACTACCTATACATGCATAACCGTACCTTACAAGATCTAAGTACACAGGTTCGGTCCAGTTTGCACAATCAAGCCCAAGATTCTGAAATGCTGACGCACCAAGAGACCAATTGTTAGATTCATAAGCATCCAATCTCAAATAGATATGAAGCCAACGACAGTAACCGCCTTGGCAGTACACATATGTGCATTTCATATGATCCTACCCTTATTGAAAGCTTGACGATTGCCCACACGGTAAGCATCCACAAGAACTCTAGAATAAAAAAAATGGATACAAATAAAAGAGAAAACATTAACATTACCAGATAAAATAAAAACAGAGGCTAATTAACAAAAGATGGAAGCAAACAAACTTGCACGTAGGTTGAAATCAAAAGGTGAAGAAAAGGCAAGTTACCCATCGACTTCAAGAAGAATGGCAAGTCCTTGAGACGAGTCCTGATAGTGGGGACTGGATGGTGAGCAAGAAGTGGAGAACCTAGTGGAATGCAAAACTTTTACAGGAAAATTGGAATATGGCAGCACAGTGGTGAATGAGTATTGAGGAAGCATTCGAAAATTGCCCGTCGATGCACTGAAGAAGGATCTGTGATCTTTATTGAAAATACGTGGAAGGGATAGTGTGTGAAGGACTGAACAGGAGGCTGTCTCCATGGAAGCTTGTCAAGGCAAAGCAACAACTGAATTAATAAGAACATGGCTATTACAAATCAGTTTAGACAGATTCCAACAGAAACATCAATCTATCAACTCTTTTAGAAAGATCCTAATATTATGCGGGGAAATGTAGAGAAAAATGTCAAACAAGAAATAAATAAAGGTTGTTTAGGAATTAAAAATGTCTAACACAGAGCTAGGCTACTCCTTCCTTCAGGGGTTTGGGTTTCAAAGATGTATAAAGCACAGAAGGCAATTCTTCTCCTCATGATGAAAAGCATTTTCATGAGAACCCCACTTTTGTTCACGCTTTACAAAAAATACAAGAGACGGACATTCAAAAACCATTAAAAAAAAAGGAGGAGGAGGAAGAAAAACACTATTTACCATTTAGTAAGGACACATTATGGTACCTTAAAATAAAAACACTGAAGCAAGATTACCATACCAGAATGACATGCAGTAGTGGAAGCAGCAGGTATAGCACAGGACAAGCAAGCAGAGCTGCACGCAAGAGGAAGGCATTTGAGGTTGGAGAAGCAAGGGAGAGACGTGTGGGGAAGTGGAAGTAGAGACCAATGAGTAGTGAGAGAGAGAGAGAGCAAAAAAAGTTGTCGTCCCCATTACTTTTCGAAAAGCGCTTTCTCTGAGTCATCATTTGACTTGAGAAGCTGACCTGTTTGTGGGTCATTGGTTTTGATTGTGATCAAACCCCGTCCCAGTAAGCTTTGAGCATTTTTTCCCCTTAGAATTGATCTCCAAGTCCTGCAGTTTTATCTAATTTTTAAATAAGTGGCACTTTCTTTTAGTTTTATTTGATTTTTCATTAAGTTCAAATTTTTTTTCTTGAAAAAATTAATTTTTTAATTCTTATAGTTCTGAATCAAATCCTTTTTGAAATTTTAATTCAGTGCAACTTAGTTTTGATTTCGTTTTAACTCAATTTCTAAATTTTAACTCACTTTAACTTTTATAGTTTTAACCATCTAAAATTTTAGTCTCCAGGTTTCATTGAAAAAAAAAATACAATTTTATTTATTAAAATGAAAGTATTAATTTTTAAATAGTTAAACTATAAGAACAGAATTAAATCGAATCAAAGTTTAGTAATCAAGTTACAATCAAATTAAAATTATAACAATTAAATTGTGTTAAGTTAAATTTGAAGACACGAGTTATAACCAAGTTAAACCCATAAAGACTAAAATATTAATTTTTTTTCTTATCTTTTAATGAATCAACTATAGAAATCCAATCAAAATTTAGGTGGAACTATGAGGTCTAAATAAAAAATAAAATGTAGGTAAAACTATAAAGACCTGATAAAAAAAAGTCACAAATTGTAGATTAATTTTTCCAATATACATCTCTCTCTCTCTCTCTCTTCTTTTTGTCCAGGGATGGAAACAAACTAGAGCAGGCCAGGCTTCACCGTTAACAAGCTAGGCCACACTTCACCCTTAACAGGCTACGCCTATGTTGAAACCTCTTGGCCTAAATTATTGACCTGACTAACAAATTTTGCTTACATAAATGCATATGGAGGACCATGTTTTTAGTTAGAGCCTGCTCCTGCATGATTTAATACCCAAAAAAAAAAAACACACACGCACACGCACGCACAAAAAGTAGTGATTAAATGAGGAGAAGGGGGTGGGAGAGTGAGTTAGAGTGCAGGTGAGGAAAAAGGAAGGAGCAATGTTGCACGTTATGAATGATCCAAACATTGGCATAGTAAAAAGGGCAAAGAGAAATAGACAAGTCTGTCTGTGCATGAATGAGTATGAAGAAAATGGTCCTATTCTTTTTTTTTTTTTATGTCTAATTTTATTTCTTGCTGATCAGTCCCTTGATTGACTTTTAAAGGCATCCTCCTCCTAGATTGGCCCTTGGAGGAGTTTTGGTACCACTTTATATTTTTGAAGCCTGTGGTCTTAGATAGGCCTTGCCTTCAGCCTAAGCCTTGGCAGCCTAAATTTTTTGAAATTTTCAAACATAAATTAATCAATCCAAAATTACCATAACTCAATCTAAATATTTAAGTGAAAAATATATAATATTCAAATTACAATAAGAAACTGACTTAAAAATGGTTTTTTGAGGAGAAGATGTAGTTAAAAAAGCCACAGATTCTAGACAAAACAACTTGTAATACTCAGCTTGAAAAGTCGATCAATGATAACATAATCCATTGTTCTAATCAGTTCGTAAAAAATTTGAGAAACTTAACAACGTCATTCATAGACTTGAGACTAAAAGATATGCAAATCATGCACTTCAATAATACTCCTAGACAACCTATCCAGTTCAGACCAAAATAACAAATGGCATCCTCGAATGGAAAAATTACACCCGTCAACAATTGAAGAACTAAAGCAAGTTAAGTTCCAAATAGTAACATCTACTATCAGAATGACAACCATCCTTCAGGGCAAACACAGAACGACAGAGCAGAGAATATTTCAATTAAAATATCCTCAAAAGAGAAATACGACAACATATAAATAAAACACTAGAAAAGCACCGACCAACAGCACCAGCAAATACCAGTAAGAAAAAAGTCGAACACTGAAAGTCTGAATGAAGGAAACTTGAATACCTCAAGACTGAAGATGCCGACAAAGTGTGTCAGTTTGTCTGACAAGGAGAGGAGAGGCTTGCTGCTGACGAACTCAGACTCACGAATCACAATGGCGAGTGACGACTGATAAGGAGAGAAGGGGAGATGGCGATGGGGACGCTCTGCCAGGGTTATTGGACTGGGTCAGGGGGTGCTAGATTCGAACAGCGAACGGTGAATGAAGGTCGGAGGATGGAGAATGGAGGTTGGAGACGGAGACTGAAACTTGATTCTTTGAATGGGTGTTGGATTCGAACGGGGAACGGCGACTGCTACTCTGCTAGGTTTATGAATTGGAAGGAAGAGGTTGATTCTTTAACGCTATGTTTGGCTCGACGGAGGGAAGGGGAGGGGAGGGATTTTAATCAAGAGAAGGGGAGGGGAGGAAAGGGGAGGGTAGCTACAAAGGGGAGGGGAGGGGAGGGAGGGGGAAGGGAGGGGAGGGATTTTAATGATCTCCTGTTTGGATTGATTGGAGGGGAGGGGAGTGAGCAATTTTAATAATACCTTATTTTGTTCTAATAAAAAATTGACTATTTTAGCCTCATAAAATTTAAATGAATTTTCTCACTTTTTATTTTAAGATATAACTATATATATATATATAATACAATTCACTAATTTTGATTTACAAGATACAGTCACACACTTATAGAATATCAAGACAAAAACTCACAAGTGATAGATTTCAATCAGAGAAAAGACCTTGAAGGTGAAAGAAAATACCAACGGCCTCTTAGAATTAGAAGAAGAGAAAAAAAGTTTACAAATGCTTACTAATTTTGGAGATAATTATCTTAATAACCTCTTATTAGATGCTCAAAAGAACTCTCTTATGTAGAAATGTTTATGACTGATTAGAAGTTAACAAATCAAAAGGGCATATAAGGAATTAAAATATCATCTCTCATCTCCCCTCCAAAAAACCCCACTTTTGGAGGGGAGGCTAGAAGGGAAGGGGAGGGGAGAAAAACCCCTCCCTCTTTAAAAAACATCTTAACCAAACGAGGGGAGGGGAGGAGCTCCCCTCCCCTTCTAAAAAATTATACCAGCCAAACAAGGGGAGGGGAGCAACTTCCCTCCCCTCCCTTCCGAAAACCCCGTACCAAACATAGCGTAAGAAAATGAAAGGAGGCTATCAAGTATTTTCATTGCTGTTATGCCATTCGGCCGTTTTCGCTAGAGGGTTGAACTGGCTTTAGCTATCAATCCGAAGTCCAACCAGATTAGAGCACGGTTCGTGTTTTCAGCCTTTCAACCTGTGGTGAGTCTGGTCTGACCAGGAGGTAACCCGGGACAGGATCGGGTCAGACTAGGGCGAGTTAGACCGGGCGGAGAAACTCTTGTAGATGAAAACTGGACCAAAAACTATATTTTAAAAAATGATTAAAAACCCAAAAAATAAGTGCTCAGTTTCATCCATGAACTTAATTCTCTTACGGCGCGTTTGAAATCACAGTTGGAAGTTTAGATGAACTTTTTCACAAGCAAAAATAATTTTTGAGTTAAAATGTTACTCCCTCTCTTTCTTATTATAAGAAACAAATAACCGAAATATGTTAATCAAAAAATAGTTAAAATTAGTTAAAAATAATTAATATGTAAAAAGTATAATTTTTTTTTAAAATGCCCTCATTAATAAAGAGAGAGGGCATGAGAGAGAACAATTAAATTATTAAAAAAAAGAGAAATAGGAGGGAGAGAGAGTGTGAGTTGGAGATACTACCTCCAGTCCTTAATATAAGACCCCGTTTGACTTTTATTTTGGTCCTAAATATAAGATCCCAATCCACTTTGTCTATCATATTTACTCAATTTTTTCCAAGATAATCCTTCTAATAATTTTAATTCTAGTTAATACATTTGATTAGCAAGGATATTTTAGGAAAGACAACACCTATTTAGAACAAATAACTAACTTAAATTACTTCCTTAATTTCTTCAAATTAGTCAACTGGTTCTTATAATTAGGACCGGAGGTAGTAATAAATATGGATAAAATAGAAAATCAACACAAAAAAGTAGAGACAATTTTTAAATGCCTCTTATATATAAGAACATACTATAAGTATCAAATGTCTCTAAGAAACGAGGGAAAAAGACAGAAAAATGCAACTTTAACTCCAGAATCCCAAAAACATCCGGCCAATTTCAGAAATCCTGTTTTGGTACTATGAGACCAAATTGGGATTATTATGTGAAAAGAAAAGACCAAATTACCCTTCATTTTAAATATTATTTTTAAAATATCACAGCCCCTACTGGCCGGCCGGTCACCGGAGCTCCGTCGGTCGGAAATTTTTTTTTTGAAAATTTTTACAACTTCAATATAACGGTTAACAACTTTTGTAATGCTATTAACACCTTCAATATAACAATTAACAACAGCTTTTCTGGGAAATTCAACAAACTCCGGCGACCAGAAACAATTTTTTTGGAAATTTTTACAATTTCAATATAACCGTTAACAACTTTTGTAACGCTATTAACAACTTTAATATAGCAATTAACAACAGGTTTTCTAGGAAATTCAACAAACTCCGGCGACCGGAAACAATTTTTTTGAAAATTTTTACAACTTCAATATAACTATTAACAACTTTTGTAACGCTATTAACAACTTTAGTATATCAGTTAACAACAGATTTTCCAAAAAATTTAACAATTGGTCGCCGGAGCTCCGGTGGAGGAAAACAATTTTTTTTGAAAATTTTTACAACTTCAGTATAACGGTTAACAACTTTTATAACTCTATTAACAATTTCAGTATAGCAATTAATAACAAGTTTTCTGGGAAATTCAACAAACTCCGGTGACCGGAAACAATTTTTTTGAAAATTTTTACAACTTCAATATAACCGTTAACAACTTTTGTAACGCTATTAATAACTTTAGTATATCAGTTAACAACAGATTTTTCAGAAAATTCAACAATTGGTTGCCGGAGCTCTGGTGGAGGAAAACAATTTTTTTTGAAAATTTTTACAACTTCAGTATAACAGTTAACAACTTTTGTAACTCTATTAACAATTTCAGTATAGCAATTAACAACAGGTTTTCTGGAAAATTCAATAAACTCTGGTGACCGGAAACAATTTTTTTGAAAATTTTTACAACTCCAATATAAACGTTAACAACTTTTGTAATGCTATTAACAACTTTATTATATCAATTAACAACAGATTTTTTGAAACATTCAATAATTGGTCGCCGGAGCTCCGACGAAGGAAAACAATTTTTTTGAAAATTTTTACAACTTCAGTATAACAGTTAACGACTTTTATAACCTTATTAACAACTTCAGTATAGTAGTTAACAACAGGTTTTTGAGTTTGTTAAAGGCATTACTAAAGTTATAAAAATGCCACTTTTTGAATTTTTTTAAAAAACCTATTGTTAACTGTTATACTGAAATTGTTAATAGAGTTACAAAAGTTGTTAACCTTTATACTGAAGTTATAAAAATTTTCAAGAAAAATTATTTCCAGTCACCGGAGCTTGTTGAATTTCCCAGAAAACTTGTTGTTAATTGCTATATTGAAGTTGTTAATAGCATTATAAAAGTTGTTAACCGTTATACTAAAGTTGTAAAAATTTTCAACTTCAATATAACGTTAACAATTACGTTTTTTTGAAAATTTTTACAACTCCAATATAATGGTTAACAATTTTGATATAACAATTAACAACAAGTTTTTCGAAAAATTCAGAAAGTGGCATTTTTATAACTTCAGTAATACCTTTAACAAACTCAAAAACATGTTGTTAACCGCTATACTGAAGTTGTTAATAGGGTTACAAAAGTTGTTAACCGTTATACTGAAGTTGTAAAAATTTTCAAAAAAATTGTTTTCCTCCGCCGGAGCTCCGACGACTAATTGTTAAATTTTTCAAAAAATCTGTTGTTAAGTGATATAATAAAGTTATTAATAGTGTTATAAAAGTTGTTGACGATTATATTGGAGTTGTAAAAATTTTCAAAATAATTATTTCCGGTCACCGGAGTTTGTTGAATTTCCCAGAAAACCTGTTGTTAATTGCTATACTGAAGTTGTTAATAGAGTTATAAAAGTTGTTAACCGTTATACTGAAGTTGTAAAAATTTTTTAAAAAAATTGTTTTCCTCCGCCGGAGCTCCGGCGACCAATTATTGAATTTTCTGAAAAATATGTTGTTAACTGATATAATAAAGTTATTAATAGCGTTACAAAAGTTGTTAACGGTTATATTGAAGTTGTAAAAATTTTCAAAAAAATTGTTTCCGGTCACTGAAATTTGTTGAATTTCCCAGAAAACCTGTTGTTAATTGTTATACTGAAGTTGTTAATAGAGTTATAAAAGTTGTTAACCGTTATACTGAAGTTGTAAAAATTTTCACAAAAAAATGTAAAAATTTTCAAAAAAAATTGTTTTCCTCCACCGGAGCTCCGGCAACCAATTGTTGAATTTTCTAAAAAATTTGTTGTTAACTAATATACTAAAATTGTTAATAGCGTTACAAAAGTTGTTAATGGTTATATTGAAGTTGTAAAAATTTTCAAAAAAATTATTTCCGGTCGCCGGAGTTTGTTGAATTTCTCAGAAAAGCTGTTGTTAATTGCTATATTGAAATTGTTAATAGCGTTACAAAAATTGTTAACCGTTATATTGAAATTGTAAAAATTTTCAAAAAAAAAATTTCCGACTGATAAAGCTCTGGTGACCGTCGCCGCGGAGCTCCGGTGACTGGCCAGCCAGTAGAGGCTGTGATATTTTAAAAATAATATTTAAAATGAAGAGTAATTTGGTCTTTTCCTTTCACATAATAATCCCATTTGATCTCATGGTAACAAAACGGGATTTTTGAAATTGACCGGACGTTTTTGGAATTTTAGAGTTAAAGTTACATTTTTCTGTCTTTTCCCCTTTTTGTAATCTAATTTTTGAGGGTGGATGAGTTTTTAGGGTGAAGTTACATTTTTTTAACTTTTCACGGGACGGTGCGGTGAGAGAAGCAGCTAGGAGCATTAATTAAGTACTTGCGTTTTTAGTCTCTTTTTATGCGTCTTTTGTATATATCTGTGTCTGTAAAAAGATAAGAACAGGAGTGCTGCGTCCATGTACTATTTTAATTTATATATATTTTTATCCATTAATTATATTTAATTAAGTATTTTTTTGGTTTAAAAAATAAGATCAATTTTATCTATTTACGTTTATTAAAAAATTAGATAAAATCAGTTTAAAATAATAAATATGTAAAGCATGTGTTTTTTTTTCAAATATCCTTGTTAATAAAAAAAATAAGTAAAATATGCAACAAATAAATCAAAG